TGAAAATCCTTAGGCGTGGATGGAGGCCATTTGCAAGTTAAGCTTGCCGGTATTTCGTCGACGGCTTCGTCTTTCTCGATTTGGGCGAGACCGGGTTTGTTAAGTAGCATAATAATGATAAAGAAGAAGAAACCCACCAGAAGAAGATAAACAATGTAATCGCATTTCATCCTATCGAGTAGCTCACATTCTGAGCTCTGGTTGAGACTTTTTGCATCTTGTGATCGTGCAAGGTCATTGGTTAATTGAAAGTCTGCGGAATGGCTCACCAAATTCGTTATTTCTTAAGCACCCGAGCTTTGACATTGACGCATCATACTGAGACACGTCTACTGTGTGGCTTTTGCCACGCCGCCTACGCAACAACCTCAATGCAACCGTTCTCATTTACAGATGCAGACACCCCTTACCGTGGACTGTCATTGGTTATAACTGCCAATCTTGCTCTGATTGACGGTGCTCATTCATGTTTTGAACACTTTTTTTAAAATAATTGAGTCGAAAAATACACCAGGTGATAAAGTGCGCAGAATGTTAAATGTTCGGATAACACGACCAAGTCTTCCACATTATTACAATTGTCCCTGAAAGTACCCACTCTACGCTTGCTGCATATTCAGGGAGTTCATGGTGCAAGAAAGGTTTGGTAGCTTAATCGCTCTTCATCTAAATCTTCACGATTCTCAATTTTTTGGTGCTGTAAATAGCCACATAGTTGTTCACGGTCGACGACGGCAATTGTTCCAGAACTCACACACAAAATTTCTCCATAGAACAATCTCTGGAGATGCACGCTTTCCTTTGCACAGACCTATGTGGAGATGATTGATGATGGTGCTGAAATTGAATTGAGGATCGAACGTGTTTTACGTAGCGACTGTAGTGGTTGACGTTGCCAACACTTCACAGGGACTAAGCTGAACTCAACGCACCAATATACTAGTGTTTTTGCCAGAACCGTCCCATCAATCAAACAATATTAAATTTCATTATGCATTTCCACATGCATTTCCTGATTATTTCCAAAACCCCAGCTAAATATCAGTTTAAAATTTTCATGGCAATGATTGGCAGATTTTTGACCAATCAGATGCACCCTCCAATTAATCATAAATTGCTAAAATCCTTCTTTGCTTGCATCTTATAGATTTTGTTCGGAGCATTATCACACTCTGTGCTGTGAGTGGCGTCGTGATTTGAGGTAGGAGGTTATTTGTCACGTGTTTTGGATGCTGCAGCGCAATTTGAAGACAGCTGAATCCACAGTAGTTCTTCGTTTCCTCATTCTCAATAACATCTTAAGCACCAGAACCAATGTGCACGTGTAGTGTATCCTATGGAATCAAAATTGTCGCCACAGTTCATCCACAGCTGTTTTCATGATTTTACCCACGATGCTGAACCCCATTGTTGACCTTGAACTGGATATATGCAGGTATCAACAAATCCCATTAATCTCCACTGCTAAAAATCAATGTCTCAGGCTCCGAGTTGTGCACCTCTAAGTGGGACCAGCCACGGCTGTCCACAGCCACATTGTGTGACTGTCGGGACTCAGTGGTAGTTTGTGAGTTTATGTGGGGATTACAACAACTTGCAACGTCAACTTCGGAAGCATTCAACGTTTGAACCCGTGGTTGATCATCTTTTGGAACGATTAGATTCCTGATTCTTTTTCTGCCTTCGACGCCTAAATGAGAACGCTAACAATCTAGTCATGTGGCACACGTTCACTGTTCGTCGAGCAATTTTATCTCATGATCATGTGTATCTCAAAGGCCCCAAATGTCTCTCCTTACAAAACCTGCTTTCATCTCTTCTGTTTGGTAATTTCTCTATGGTTTTTTAAGTGAGACCTTTTGTCGGAGCGAATAAAATTCCAAATCACTACAATGATGGAAACCCACATTGCTCGTGGTCAAACAGGGTGACCGAGTTGTGCATGACAATTGCAGGACAATAATTACATCTCGTTTATACGGTGAAGGCTACACCTTCGTTGACACTGCCGACGTCATGGTGTTAGGAAACCCACAGTGACGCTCCCATGTAACACCTTAAAAGGAAACAAAAAAGGAGCAGCAGTAGTGACGCACTTGCACTTTACGAGTCACGCGCCATTTATTCGATGCTGGTCTGTAGTCATGTGAATTTTATGTGATTTCGCGAACACGAAAACAACCAGGTCAAATTACCCCAAGGCATTCTTCCCTTCGTCACACACACGATGTTGGGTATTTCTATTTGGAAACGGTATTTTAAGTTGGCTAATGGACCTACAAACAACGTCGATGGGTGTGGCTGGTCAGGAAAACGAAGAAGACATTTGTGGCGAGCAGCAAGCGAGCACAGGTAGCAGTCATTCAGACAACTCTGTTCGTCAAGGGCCGACGTTTTGCAAGGCTTTATAAACGCACCTGTTATCCTACACAGACACACACTGCTACTTCATCAATAAATAAATTGAGCTATGCGTCATATGCGTGATTCTAGAGCGTATTATAACATTTTCGTTCTCCTAGTGGGATTTTTTTCTTAATGTTATCGCGCTACTTACACAGCCAAATCACATCTCGTTCAAGGAAACTCTTAGAGTGGAGGCAATCCCGCCAAACATGGACTGCAAATGGCCTCCTTCTACGCGTGAGCACATTCACTATGGAACAGGGCACAACATAACCTTGTGTGTACGACTGGCTCCCACTGTATCACTAACAAACAGTGATACAGTCCCCTGCGCAATCGGTTTCGTGGTTCGAAAGGTAGAGGCGCAATATTATTCGAGGATCTTGGAATGCTGCCATAACGTTCTTGGAAATTTGTTTTATTGCAATTACCCAATGGACGTTCCACTGAAGAGAATTGTCAAAGCAGTGAAAGCGTGTCTTCCTGTCACTGCTGTAAGCTGACATGTTTTTTTAAACCATTCGTGTCTGCTGTCATATAACTCCATCAAAATAAACTACATCCAGGTTGAAACAAACCACAGTGCAACAATTAAAGGCATTTTAAGTCTGCATTTTTGGTGCTTAACATAAATGGAGATAAATTTCAAGTTAGATAGGCACGCATCCAATGGTAAGAGCTTAACTAAATTGTTAAGCCCGTGACAGGACGAAAAGTGTATAGAATTAATACGAGCAGATTGACGTGCAGTCAAAAAAAACATTTGATGAATTTAAGCAAGCCACAACGACACAAATCTCTCCGCATGCACATTAAAATAAAAAAACAGTTAAAAATTCCCTAACTGATTTGGCCTTAGCTAAAAATGGCTAACGTGCGGGAGACTCCACGAGTTTGATGTTAGAATCAGACAGAGAAAATCCATTCTCCGTCATAAGAAAGATTTCGAAGTGTTCAGAGAATCATATAAAAGAACAGCAAATTGACGGAGTGCTTTTTCCAGATGCCTGGGTACAATTTTCCCATGCGCATTCTGAAAACCAGCTCAAAAGTGTGTGCACGTGACACACAACACGACCTCGTCATCGTAGGGAAAAGTGGCAATCTGTGGTGGGACGCCAGAACGGCGTTTCGTGCCTTTATGCAACGCGAGAGAGCCCGTTATCCGAAGCTCAAGGTGGGAGTCGTCTTCAGTCTGGGAATGCCACGCGAACACGGTGACAAAATATTCAATCGTGATGGCCACATCTTTAGGCAGAATGGAACGGCTGGTGATAGGATGGAGAAATGCGACGGTAAAGCCGATGTAGTTATGGAGCACATTAACCAAGAAATCCACCAATTCGATAACATACTGCTACGCGACTACGAGGATACGTATTACAACCTGACGTGGAAGACCGTCATGAACCTGCGATGGCTGTCGGCATTCTGCAGTAAACATCACGCCAACGACTTCATGCTGATCGACGACGATCATCGCATGAATCTCTCATTGGTGACACAGTTTCCCAAGAATACTTCGTCTAGGACATTGAGAAGGTCCATTTTCGGTGCCATTGCCAAAAAACAGCGTTCCAGGAAGAATGCCTTCAAAGAAGTGGTTTCAAGTCGCATGGCGAGTATCCGTGGAATTCAATGACACCGTATCCACATGGATTTTCCCAATTCATAGGAGCTGACATCGTCGACGACATGGCCATCGCGAGTGCATACACGCGGTACAATTATGCGCCGGAGGATGTGTATCTTGGAATGGTAGCATTTAAACTGGGCATTAACCTGCACCGTGTGAACTCAATGTCATATCCCCTCTGGAACCAGCAGAGCGATACGTGGTCTCACCGAGAGAGACAGATGAGCACGATGATTTAGTTTTCACGACGGCGTTGTCATCCATGGAGCACTGTGTCCGACAGACTTGGTCACCTTGAATGTTTCTGAAAATATGGCAAGAGGTGAATTCTTGGTATGTGGGATCTAATATCGATACTCACTGCTTAAATAGCAACTGATTGCAATTAATCATCTATTTTCTGCAACTACAATTCGCTCATCTCAAAGGTAGTTTATGCAGGCTTACGTCGATGAACTGGAGAGTACACAGACGCTTTCAGGAGTACAATGGGCATTCGACGATATCAGTTCAATGAACATGTTTCAAGCTTCATGTCCATGGACGTTCTAGGTTGGTGTTGTGCTCAAAGAACTTTGTGGTTCCTGTCCAGCCACAAATGTTCGTCCTATTTGATGCATAGGTATAACCGAGGATTTGTCAAATTCGTCGGAGCTGACACCATCGACGACAGGGCCAAGGCAAGGGCATAAACGCAGTAAAAGTATGCACCGGAGGATATATCATGGTCCACGCCGATTAGCATAATTCAGTGGAGCTCACTTTGGCTAAGACAAACCATTTGTCACGGTCAAGTGACAACCTTCGTTCCGTGGCTTGGTTTTTCTTTTGGTTTGTGGTTGGCCTTCTGCTATAGGGACTGCAATGCCGACCAAATCGCCTATTGTCTTAGTTGTGTCTCTGCAGGAGAATTGACGTGGTCACACATCATTGAATGCGGTTGTGATAATCAATTGGAATGTTTGACAAAGGCGAGATTGCGGCAAAGAGGGAAAGTTAAAGGAAACATAACCGGAATAATCAGAGAAAAATATCACCTTTAACGATTAGCTTGGGGGGGAATACTCTGTGGACACGTGTGGTACACCGGTAGATGTTGAACCAGTTTTCGGGGTCAGCGTGGTATCTGTACAAAATCATAAAATAAAACCATGCGTTATCTGCGAATATCCGAAAGACATCCACAGGAGGATGCGATTTTATCCTAGTTTTGAGGTTTAACCGTGCGCACATTTCTCATATTGTATCAGCGCTCCACTTCCTAATGATTTCGAGGACGGTTCAGAAAAATTGACAATAGTCTTGAGGGACGTTTCTATAGTGACTTTGACGGTAGAACTCAAACGAATTCAATTCGCAGATTTCTGTTTTGTTATAAGGTATGGAGCTAGACAACGCTGAGTATAAACAAGCCAAACACACATTTTACATTTCCTCAATGATTTCGTCTTTAGGCCAAAGTGCAGCCAGTTAGGGGTGCTTGAATTTATGTCAGATTATTTCAGATACCATTGGCTGATAGAGACTGTGCTATTTCACTCAACGGTGTTAAGACTTCTTTGACAAATGCGTTTGGTAAGTTTGTGTGGTATGGTTTCACTCATAGCACCTGGCCATCCACAGATCACCATGAGTCAAACTGCTGATTTGCCAGATCATCTTCAAGAGCTCTTGACAATCTTCCGTGTGATACTCAAGATGCATAAGCACTGTTTAAGATGCAGGCCACATGGGTGCATCACAATTAAAATCAGTGCAAATTGCACGGGAATTTAAAACCAGCTTTTGACACATGACCAATGCAATGTTTCAAAGGTGGACGTGTTGGTGTCCCAATTTCTACCGGCTAGGTCAAAATGTCCTCAATACCTTCAGGAATTAGTGGGCAGCAGCCAGCAGCTGTAAAAGCCAGCGAAAGTGGTAGCATTTAATGCTGTGAAATATATTCATTGACCGCCCTCGGTAGCACCACAGATCATATTGCTACTCACGTTGACGGATTGTCATGGCAACACGGGGTATTGGGATAGTACGATGAGCATATTTATAAAATACTTTAAACCTCCTTCTAATTCAGTGAAAACGAACGCGACCGTGACTATGCCAGTAGGGATTCGTGTTGATTCATGCCCAATAACCCAGTCCTCGCAGCTTCCAGCATACGTCTCTCCTTTTCACGACCTGCACGTCAGTCACGTGAGGCCGCTGGTTCATGAACTCTGCATGTCCCACCACCACCCGCTTTAGTCATGTGACCTCGCAGACACCTGTGTTTATTTTTGTACATGTCCACTGAACCGTAAGTGTACATAACACAACTTGGTTGAGCTGTTCAGTAAACGGTTGTGCCTTCTCCACTCCGGTCTTCTTTATTTTCGCGGGAGCACAGGGTAATGTATTCGGCCTAGATTGCCGCAGTGGCCTCGGCGTGGTTCAAGACATCATGCCGGCGTCCTCAACATGTCCTTTCGTGTCGGGAAAATGGCTTTACTGCATGTACAAGTATCGATTAGTTCGGTTACCAAATGCATGATTAAGTTACTGCTCAATGTCTACTTTAGACCAAAAACATAAATTTTCATGAAAATAGTGCTTAGGAATCAGCAGCGTATTCTCCATCGTACACTGTCACTATCTTCCAAGTTTCTACATGTTGTTTGCAATTCTCATTGGTAAGAAGGAGAGAGAGAGAGATCTTGACCTCTTCCCTTTGACATTCAAATTGCCTTTCAGGGAACATTAACGACTATAACCTGAAGATGGGGAGTCTGAAAAGTTTGGCTGCGGATGCTGATGGAGTTTTCCCTGCTAAGGTCCCCTTTGTTTGCTGTGTTCGTTGAGCGCCCTGTCGTGAAAGATTCTGCCTTATTGTGCAACAAGTTCAAAATGCTTTTGATGAGCAACTCGCAGTGTTATTGTACAAATTGCTTTTAAATGCGTCAAAAAGTGACGAACAACAAGATTTCATGCAAGCCCTCTACAAGTCACACAAAACCATCTTCATTAGCCGCGTCAATTCAGCCCCTTGCCGTTGACTTTACTCTTTCGTCCCATTATTTCCATCATTTAATATATTCCCATTACTTGCCCGAAAAGTATTTCAAATTTGTTGGACTGCACGAGAAGAAATACGCTTACGGAAACGTAATTTTGCTCGTTATATTTGGTCAAACCGAGACATTTGGCCACGCACTTTAACCTATAGCCGCATTTCGTTTTGATTGGTTAAGTATTCATTAATGGATACCTAAATAATCATCACTGCATTCGGTCAGTGGGAGGACATAGTGTTACTGCCACATTCACTGTCGAATGTCGCCCGATTATGTTACTGTGCTTATATGTTCCTTGATTTCCACAAAACCTTCTAACATGTACCAATTATCACACATCGAACGCTGACGTTCAACGTTTGCTTCATCAATTTGAAGTCTCTACTCCTGCAAAACCCACAAATCTGTTCGAATTTGCGTAGATTATTTAGAATTCTAAGAACAATTAACAGACTTGCCTCGGCGCCCTTTTACTACCGTATTTACAGTTGACTGGTACCAATTCCACCATTTCTCATACCTGTTCCTTGGTTCCTGTCAAAAGCCACCAATAAAGTGCTCATCATTCGGCGTCGATCAAACCAGTTGAAAGTTTCCACCAACAGGTCATTGATGCTGCAGAACCCACATCATAAATCTTAACCTCTGATTGGTCTAGCATCGAATTCATTAAATCTTTCATCTGATTGGTGAAAGAGGGTCTAATAATTGCAGTCCTAATGCCTCATGTCATATCAGGCCGGTAAATGCTGAATTTTAACATGAAGTTAGGCCTACTCTGTAATAAGTTGAAGCAGTGCGTGTGTGCTGTATTAACGATAAAAGAATTATCAACCATTTTATTTCATCATTGTGCGTTATACCTATTCAGTAAATCTTGCTCTGTGTCGCTTCCCACCTTTGATAATGCTCTGATTCGCGTTTCATTCAAACAAAATATCCTACTGATTAAATCGACGTAGATTGCTGGAAAACCAAATGTTGACACATTTATCGCGTAAATTGCTTACACCTCAAATGAATGTGACCTTTTGCCTCAGACTGGAGGATCGCAGATGACTCGTGTTGTACGGGATTTTTTGACAGTGGTAAGCGGAATTTGTAGAGAAAAACTGTAGAACACAAACGACACCTTAAGTTTGTTAACTGATGGGCAATGCTCTTTTTTCCAATACGACGCCAGTTCGCATTCAGCTGAATGGGCATAGCAAAACTAGGGGGATTGGAATTTGGAAATCTCCAGTGGCACCCTACCCATTTAGGTTCCAATCTGCATTAATCTCTGCAATTTCATTTTAGCGCAATTTCATTTTAGCGACATAAACCTCACTTTCGGCGTACTTTAATAAGAAACCCAAAGCAGTTATTTCAAAAGAAATACTCAAGAAAACGTGGATCCTTGGGAGCTAGTTATAGGGGACAATGGTGAATTAACCGATGATTATTCATCACAATTTATTTTGTCTCCAATCAGGCGTGAACTGTTGGAAAATATTGTTTGTGCAAAAGATAAACGAAAAAATCAGCGGTTAGTTTTGTAATTTTTAGATGGACCGTCTTGATTTGTATTCGCTACGCCAGGGTCATTGACGTCCTTTCAATATTTTTGCACACAACTAGGCTTCAACTCGTCACGGATAAGTAAAAGCTGAAATTGAATGTCTACTTTTATAAACTCAGCCCTCTGTCATTTGGTAAATTAAGCATCGCATCAGTTGTCTTGGATCTGCATTTTATTGACGAGAGCTTAACAATTATTCACAAGGTCGAAATTGACTCCTATGCGCGTCAAGGCACATTTGGCAACTTCAAGTTCATCCCATTTCCTAAAATAAATAATGATTTCTAATGCTGCGGATTTTGGTCGAATCTGCGTAGATTATTTATTATTCTATGACTGGTTAACAGACTTGCCTTATCGCTGGGTTTCTGCTACATTCACAGTTGACTGGTACTTATTTTACCATTTCTCATACCTGCTCCTCGATCCCTGCCAAAAACCAGCACAAACGTGCGTCGAACGGATTAGTTGAACATTTCTACCAACAGATCGAGGTCTTTGATGCTGCAGAAACCACATCATCATTCGAATGACCGTAATTGAATGACACTTCAGTAAAATTTATCCAAAAAATAGGTTTTTTAGCTTTGTCAAGTGATTTTGGATTTTATGACCGTGTATGGCC